TTTGGAACGCGGAGAAATCCATTTTCTGGCGTCCTTAAATGATGGGCGATTAACTTTTTCCCCGCGCGTTCGATACTCGTCCGTTCTACCGCGTAATTGATTTTTTCTTTCTTATCGCGCTCACGACTTAGCGTCGCCGTGATTATAAGTTCAAGATAGCCAAAAACGCCGATTCCCTCCGACAGGTTACTGCTTCATGCTCGAAAAACTCATCCTCTCCCTACTTTCTCAATTTTACAAAAACCGCCTACAAAAAAGCGATAAAAGATTTGTCAACCAATACCCTGTGCCTACTTAACCCAATCACCCACCAGATTTCAAGATTGCCCAGTTCGTTCGTCATCGCCCGTCCGATTGGCGCTGCTAAATTTTCCCATGCGAATTAACCGGTCACGCCGCATCCAGTAGGATTTGACTCACAAGACAGGTCGCCAAATTCATTAAACTTGAAAATAATAACATTTTGTAGAAACCAGCCCTTTTATGGACCCACCCTGTGTAATTTATAATACTCAACTCAAATAACCTTACAACCCTAAATAGTTGATGGTCCCAGAGTCCTCATTTACTTCCCCCTAATTTATTAAATTCGCGGGGATGCGGAAAAATTCACCTGCCAACCCCTAATCTCATTCCTGATTTTTACATATCTGGCACTTTCAGCTTCCTCGCTGTCTAACATTTTCGAAAGAGAAATATTCCCCATATGTGATGGTTTTGTCCGTTTGCCTGTCCGCCCGTTGGTTCCTCGTCTAACTCGAGAACGAAAAGAGACAGCGATATCAAACCTTCGCCAATGGATCTGTGCTATTTAATAATAATAATAATCTTTATTGTTGTTAAGACAAAAAACATTTTTTTGTTTACAAACGTCAGTTTAGAAAAGGATAAAAAACAAGGGACAAATACATTTAATGACTAACTTACATTGAAATCGGATGAAGACCATTGACAATTCAAAAATTCGTTAATGTCGTAAAAACTTTGTTTTTTTAAAAATGTTAATATGTGCCGGATTAAAGGTCTGGCTTCCGAATGCGAGCTGAGTGGCAAATCTTGTCAGCGATTCTTTGTATCTTGTTACTGGTCAATTTGAATTACTTAACCTCTTGTAACGGAAGCCCTTCAATGAGGTTTATTCTTTTTCAATTTTTGCGGGTTTGCATTTTTTTGAATTCCGTTATGATAGTGTTATTTGTTTATTTATTTAATTTGGTCTTTATTTTTGAGTAGGCGGTGTTGCAGCCAAGGCTGTTTTACCAGCTCAACTCACTATATATTTACAAATATCGATACCCGAACCCGGATTCGAACCAGGAACCCTTAATACCGCAGTAGAGCTTCAAATCAATTGCGTCACAAGGCCCGGCAAAGGTAGAGTGGAGTGGTTCTATTACATGACTGGTGTTCCAAAATTTTAAAATACTTAAGTCAATTTTCGAAACGAGTTTAGCGTTTTTTATTTCTATAAGTTCCAGATTGCAGGTTGCCATTTGAGACCATTCTTTATTCGAGTGTAATAGCTTAAGGAGCGGACTTAGTGAAGTCGTTCGATAAGCTCAGGATCATGATAAATAAGGTACAGTACAGTTGAATACAATTGAATCAAAGTTTGTTCCTGAGAGAGGAAATGAGCCGCGGTAGAACTCGTTAGCTTATTATGAGTAATCAGAAATTTGAGTTGGTCTGGAGTAGGCTCAGTATAACTAATTAAGAGAGCGAAAATTTAATACTACGCGTATGAGCCTTGAAGAACCTGAGGGCAAAGAAACCGTATTTAAAATTAGAGAAAAAAGAAAGCCGCCCTTCGGTTCTAAGTGCTTCGTGTAATCGAATTTAAAAAACCTCGGCAGTAGTACTTTAGAAGATCCAATTTCCATTCTATGTTATTCATTCCGAAGGTCTCTAGGAGAAGGGCTGTACAAATTTGTACTGTAGGAAAACCATCAAGTACAGAGAGCGCTGTAATATGTACGATACTGTACTTTTTCTTGATTTGTATAAATATAACAATCAGTTCTCTTTAAGAAATTGCCTTAAAAGTTATTGAAGGTAAGCAGGAAATTTCTTAAAGAATTTTTTTGGAAAAATGACCGAATAGAGCCGATATGTATCATATAAGAAGTATGTATGTTTGAAATCATTTAGAAATTATCACTGGTCACAATTTAAACCCTTTTTTAATCGTTGTTATATAACTTAAAAATCGCAAAGTTGCTCGCATAATTAATACAAAATATCCAAATATTTTGAAGCCGCAAGCGTTTATTGGTCACTATTACACACTAATTGTCTACCAATACTCGCTAACGAAGTTTAATTGTTTGCTATTATTACAATTAATATCATTACGCAATTCTCTCATAGTATCAAAGTGCATGATGGGTGTATAGAGTCTCGGTGTAATAAAATTCCTTTAGAGAATAGGTAAACATCAAATTTAAAAGAAGGGCGCAATATACTGTGTTTTTCCACGATGATTCATTTTCCCGTTCAAAGTTTCTTGTAGGTCTACAAATAGCGAAGTTATGGTCCAAAAACCGAAAAATGTTATTGTCAAGAATGCATTGGCGTCCATTTACTTTCAAGGATACCAAAAAATAATTTTAACAAAACCTTGGTGAATTTTTCTTAATTTTCTGACGGTGCTAAAAAAATTGTCATGACCAAATTAAATATTATGTTTTTCAATCAAGTCGGATATTGCAGCCATAAAATCAATCAACAACATTATATCCATTCAATTTTTCACTACATTTATGACGCTCGGCCTGAAGATGGCCGCTGGTCGAAATCGATAGCCGCCAAAGAAAATCCTATAAATAAATGTGTTAATTAATGTCTTCATTACCTCTTTGTTGTCAACTGTGTATGATTGGTTGTTGTAATTTTTGTTATCGGAAGAAGGGTTTCGCCTTAAATAGGACTTTAACAACAAAAGCGCCGCTTTTGCCACGTTTAGCGCCAAGTTACGTTTCGTTGAAGATTTAAAATCAGCTTTTTGCCACAATCTACGCAGAACTACATTTCGTTTAAGATTTATTAGCTTCTTGCGAGTTCCGTCGTTGAATTACGACCAGTGTTTATTATTTATTTGAAGCTTCAGCCATCATCGAAAGTTTTCACTCAATGTAAGATTGAAGTTTGAAGAAGTTCCGATTGTGAATCCGGAAGCCAAATTCGCGGCTAATCATTTTTCTACGTTTATTCGTTCTTAGTACAACGCCGAAGTTTTTTTGTCTTACCGGCTGGAGGATTGTCATAAAGTGTTGGCCATCAAAGCGCTGCAAGGAGAGGTGTTTGTCGGCGTTTCCTAAGTTTGTTTTCAACGGGACTCAGTTTGAAGTTCAGTTTTTTTTGTGAACGTCTTTCTCTACCCGAAGAGAAGATGCTGCGATTACCCGATGTCGTTAATGTAAAGTGTCATTTGTGTTAATTGAAAATTTTAACTGTGCACGGATACCGTTTGATTGGATATTTCAATTCCCGGTCAAGTGTTGTAAGTAGTTAAGTCATAATTTTAGTCTATTGTTTGTGTTTTTGTACCATTTTCCTTTAGTAATTTTCACATTAATTTACCTGTGTTTCATTCACAACGACTTCATTTCTAATTTACCTGTGTTTTTGTTGGATGCTTGCTCAATGTCAATTTTAGTCATTTAACATTTTGCAGTTCAGTTTGGAGGTTAAGGTATTTTGAGTTGACCCACTATCTGTTAGAAATTAACAGTTTAACTGAGAGCAGAGTCGAACCTCTCCTCTGTATTGGGTAGAAGTTTTGGGCCGTGATCATAATAAAAGGTAAAGTGCCTAGTTAGGTTTTTGTTTTGGTGTTTTGCATACGGTCTTTCTGGCTTACGGATCAGTGCACACAGCAATATAGTACTCATTACCCGAACCATTACCTCTATACCCGTGGGCAATGAAAAAAATTAGAATAGATCATGTACATTTGGAAGTAATAATTATCTACAAATGTGAAAACTGTCAACAGACGTCGTTTTGGCTTTTGCCTTATTTTCTTTTCGAAATTCACGGAGGTCCTATAAAAAGTATGGAACGTAAGTCGGTTGTAATTTACGCATTAATATGCACTATTATTATCCTAATTTCATGTGGGTGAAATGGAAATACTGTACCACGCCTGCCAGACAGTATAGAGGCTAATAACCAGCGCATGGGGAGCTCAATTTTCTCCAGAACTAAATGCAAAAGTGCAAAAAGATACAATTAAAACGGGGTCGAAATTTCCATGTCACTTAAAGATTCATGAAATAATAAATTAAACAAAATAAAATAACATTAGGCATAAAAAACCCAAGCTCGCGCGAGTGCATAATTGCCATGTTACATATAACCGGAAAATAAATATTTACATAATTAATAACCCTTCATTTGTGTTATTGGATCTAGTGTTTACATCCGCAGGGTATTGCTTCGCTTTTTGATGAACTGGATGTAATAACAGGTTGCAGAATATTACTCATGCGAAATATTCGCATTCTCTGCTCGTTGAAAAAGGGCATTTAGCTAAACACAAAAAATCATATCGAGCTAAACATGGTGTATGGGCACCTGCTTTTAAAATTGAATCGAAGCACAGATTACAACAAATGGCACCGCAATGGAAATATTATAATAATACTGAAGGGACGCAGGAAAACAAAGTATGGTCATCCATTTATCAATAAATTTTCAAAGCATAATAATGAGTACATTTATATTTTAGGCAGATAGACAGAAGGCAGTGTTTTTTCCAAATATCCAATATAAAATCTTTTAGCATATCATGGAATGGAAGGAAAAGCGGCATTGTATAAAGATTAACTTTCCGACGTTCCGCTTCATATTCTTGTACTTATAATTACTTTCACTAAGTATAAAAAGACAGATATTGTCCAAAACATTGGCATTCACGACGAAAACTTTTCTTGGCTGCCTTAGAAAATAAATCTCCCGAAAAAAAGAATGACAGAAAGTTATCAGAGTTTTATTTTTCAGGGATTCAACGAATTGTCTCGCAGGCGTGCCGTTTCCTTTTCTAAGAAAATAACATCAATGGGAAGCAAGTAAGTGTCTAGAGTATTTTTGAGCATACTGAAGTTCTCAGTCGAGGATTTACTCGCGCAGTGTACCGCGAAATCTAAGGTAATACCGGCTTAACGATTTTGACATGGCTTTCAAGTGGCGTGGGCATAGACAGTGCGTAATTAAATGTTAACTCTGAACACAAAACCTGCATTTAAAACTCATGTGTTCAATTCTAAAATATACATGTCAAATGCACCTGAAGATATGCAACTAATCTTACTTACTTTCATCAGAAAAAGAACTTACCATGATTTAATTTTAGGTAGGAAAATGTAATGTTCGTAATTTAGTTTGAGAATTTGAAGTTTCACAATTGTCCGTATTGAATTCAATAAATCAGAGCAAATGAGAAAATTCCAATATCTGAAAAAACACTATAAACTCACTTTATCAACTACTGCCTTGTAAGAGTTGAATAATAGGGGTCAATGGTTTAATACCTCACTCATTTTTAGATAAGTATTATGAAGGGGATAAGGTAAACTATGACGTTTGATTGCGAACTAAAGACTTAATTTATGTACTATGACGATCGATTTCGGGTTTTCATCCCATGCTCGGGCCCAGTTGCAATTTATTGTAAATAAGCTACATAGTTTTTGTACCTATAAAATGTTACCGTCAATTATAAAATTTGAAAATGAAAGAAAAATAACACGTTGTTTTAAGTTAAAATGGGTTTTAATGGTATAGCGAATGGTTTCCGATCGATCACCAGACTAACAATGCTTAATTCCATGCAAAAATAATTCCCTCCATCAATAAGTAAGTCCACTTATTTAATGGTGGAATAATAATGGCGGAGACTCTTTGTCAACTTTCAAGGCTATCTATAGAAAAGCTGACTTACCTTATCTTTTCCCAAAGACTTCTTAATTCGCAGCGTAGGATATGTGACTTAAAATCAACTCCTTTTGGCGTGTAAACCAATACCAGCTTCGATAATGTGGCGACAGATACGATTTAAAACAATGAACTCACTGATAGACATGACGCAGATGACTAAAAAAGCTCGTCGGATTACAATCGACAAAACAAAAACTTGAACTTGACATGAGTAATATTTGTTTGGTTAAGTGTTCTTGAAAGCTTGATTGTTTTTAACCTTAGAAATTGTTCTTCGAAATATTTCAATGGAAACAAATGGCAAAAAATTTACATAAAATAATCGCTCTCATTCAACTTACCAACCGAAGAATTGGAAACTACTTGAAGAGTACTTTTTTATGTAGGTAACATGTTATACTCTTAAACTTTAACGATTTCGCCCTTCTAACCATGTTTCTTCAAAAATTGACCGTTTTTCAAATTTTGTTCAGAGAAAATAAATCGCGCACATGCTAAGATTTCTCTACCACATAATTTTTGTAGCTCCTTTATCGAAAAAAAGAAATTTGGTATTAACCTTCGCCAAATGTATTTTTTTTTAAATTTCAAATGGCAGCTCTCCCCCTAAACAAATTATAGCTCTGGAAGCAGAAACACGAAAGCCGCCATTTTAGACATTTATTTAAGATTGCTAGATTTTCTAGCCTTGTTGTTCGTAAATCTATCCAACACTTTTTCAATAATCAACATGGTAACCATATTGTAGCGAGTATTCTAGAAATCCAGGTACACATTCAGGCACCAAGAATGATCGGCGATAAGAAATGAGAGCGAATGTGATGCGTTGCTTCCTAGAAATGCGATAAGCTGACTTCGGAGGTATTCGGATTTCTCGAGAATGTACGAGAACAATCTAGAAAAATTTGCTATATAAGCGAACCTAATCGCGTGTCACAGCAAATCTTAAATCTAAATCTTTTATATTTTTATCATCTAAAATGGAATAAAATCTACTTTATTTAATAGAATTTTGTAAGGTCTAGAACTCCTATCGCATTCAAGTTTAGAACTCTTTAGTACGTCTCCATTACATCATTTTTAGGGTATTCTTTTCCAAAAATTATATTCATTATGGCTGGCTGGCTGTCCGACTGAGATCTCAGCAATTACAATAGCTAGAGACTTCAAACTTTCACTAAAAGCTTTCTGATGTAGTGTAGATATGCCGGCTCTAGTCTATTTTTAGTTAGATTACTTGTGAGATCGATAATTGAAGAAAATAATTTCGATATGGTTTTCAGAGTGCTATAATTTTACCGTTAGATAGCGCTACCGGTATAACATTTTAATTATTAGCGCATTTTTGAAAAAAAGTACGCCATTATATTCGTTATGGCTGGCTGGCTGGCTGTACGGCTGAGATCTCAGCAATTACAATTGCTAGAGACTTTAAATATTCACTAAAAGTTTCTGTTATAGTGCAGATGTGCAGGATCTAATCTATTTTGAGTTAGATTACTTGTGAGATCGATAATTTTAAACTTTGCATCTGCATTACCAAAAATGCGCTTTCATCATGCATATGCTGATTTACAACTTGTTCTGTATAAAATTACAATTATCTCACCGCACTTGACGCTAACGCTGGCTGAGCTCTTCACATTGAAATTACATGATAGCCCAAACAAAAATGTTAATTTAACAATGAACACAAATTGAAAATTAACAAACGTATAAATGTTGAAGAGCAAGTTCTATACATCAATTGGTTTTCAAATTACTTTTAATTCAGAAACAAGGCTCCGACTACCGCATTTTCATTTCCCACGTACATAGTTTTAATGAGGCAGGTACTTCCTTTATGTGGAACAGTTTAATGTCTTGCGCTACTCATCAATTAAATGGCATTGGACACGTATTTAATTACTGTAAGCAATTTCATTATTGTGAACCTAATTAGAACTAGAAAGCATTAATTTATTTGGGAGTGTAATTAATTGTGGCGATGCGCCTTTCTTGATGTAGGTAATTGTGTTAAAATGTGGTACTAGTAGAATTCCAAATTTAATCGTGATAAATTTCGTTGAAAATTTAGATTGGTAAAGGACCTTAATATAATTTAAAATAAACCTTTTAATGTTTATAACCCTTGATAGAGCTTACAGAGATAGCACACTTTTTAATGAGCTGGTTACGGTTGGTATTGATGTAGACAAGACAGAATGCGTTGTAGTAGGTTGGTACTAGTGGTATGATAAACAAAACACTAGATAGAAATTATTCATGGGAAAAATTGTAAAGTATAAACTGTTTAGATTTATTTTAGTGATTTTTCATTTAATTTATTTTAACATGTACGTTTAAAATTACAGCTCTTACCGCTCTTTGGAAAATGAGGACTATACCTACGTATTGCCTAACTCCAGAAAATTGAACAGTTTAATGCTTTGAAGGATCATTCGGGAGGAAATAGTGTGAAAGTGTGTGAAAATCAAAAGTTCTATAAAACAAAAGCTTAGGTTCTCAAAAAAAATGTTTTTATATCCTCTGTATATTTACACTCCTTGAAGTGTTTGGCTAATGTTACAGAAAACGTTCAACTGACCCTACCGCGGTTAAATAATGGTCTTATCTAAAATTGACGGGATAATAGTAAAATAAGTTTCGGAGTTCGAATGAACGAGTGATAGAAAGTCTTCTTCAACGAATGATTTATACCAGGGATTCCCAAACTATTTTCCAAAATGAACTGATACATTAGGCCCCGATAAGCAACGTTCTATCTCTATTTTTTCCCTATTGACACAAAATACTCACCAATTTAAAAACTTTGTGGTTGGTTGGGTAGCACCTTTAGGTTTATTAAAAAGCGCCCTCTATTGAGCAGCAGTATAAACATGTACCGTTAAAAACTTTATGTATAAATGCATTAGATGTCGGGGCAAGCGCTAAAGTTTGCACAATTCGATTTGCTTATTATTGATATCAGTTGTAATGTACCTATTGTGAAGTTAGCCAGAAGCATTGAATAAGCACCTTCACTTTGCAGTGTATGCAACACACCTTACACCAATTGCAGGTTTTCCTATGTAGTTATACTTCTTTAAGGTGTTTATTCAATGTCAGAAGTTACTTGTAAGAATTGTGAACATGAAATACGATATAGCTCTGTTCACACAAGCAGTCTCACGTTATCCATTGAGTAAATACACATCTTGTGTATTCTTAAGTTAATAAAGGTTTTATTGGTTGTAGTATTATTTCTAATTCGATACGTTACATTAGTGATATTATATCACTATGACGTAAAGTGCGATCACACATTGTTTAATTGAACAATGGATCTTCTCATTCGCGACATCTATAAGCGTCATTTTACATTTTTTAGAGGTACATACTGCTGCGTAATAGAGGGCGCTATTCAGTATACCTAAATTAAAGTCACTAAATATAGAAAGTACCGCAATCCATTGGGCTCGTGTGTTAGAGAGAGAACGCATGATTTTTGCCCAAAAATGGCGGAAGTTACCAGATTCTAGTAAGTTTAATGTTAGGGATTGTTCCACCTGTTTGGAGATATCTGTATATATTTTTATAAAACATGACAGTACTATGAAGTTAGGTTATAAAGAATTACAGCTATTCAGATTTTATTTGTCAATTTTTTAAGTTGGCAGCAAATTTGCCCAAAAATGGCGGATGATTGCGGTACCTTCTATATCTAGTGACTTTATCCCTAAATGTACCACTGACCTCATTTTTTATTGAGATCAGTGAGGTGTATCCATGAGATGCATAAGGTTAGCATTCTGTTGTGTGTGTATGTAGGAGAACACAATATTAATGAAATTAATTACCATAAAATCACAAGTGACCCCTACAGAACGTTTATTTATATACATATTATCAGTTATAATTGCACAAGAGGTTTGTATTTTACCGAGTAAATTTGGGTTGTTTAGGTAATGAAAATCTGTTGCCTAGCAATTAGACGAGAAAAACTGTCAACTAATAAAAATGCGACACCGCAGGTAGGACAATTTAACAAACAAGAAATTCACCAACTAATCAATTATTGACAGACGTCAAACGTAGTCATATGGGAAAGGATAATGCGATAATTGGTTCGAAAATGAATAAGTGAAAAAAC